CCCCCGGACCCCCGGACCCCCGCCGGGGCCCCGGGGCCCCGGGGCCGGGGCTCGACAACCCTGCCCAGCGCAGCTATGGCTGCCGCTGGCTGAGCAGCAATGCCATGGCTGCTCCTCACCCTTCTTCTTCAATGAGAGCTGTGACGAATCCAAGACTCGAACACACTGTCAACGGCTTAGCGGGCAGACACCTAACCATAAGGCTAAGTGGGCCGGGGTGAAAGTGAAGCCCCAGGACTCAAACCTGAATACCTCACCCCACCCCAGCACAGAATCCCACAACGGAGATCCCGCGACCCGGTGTACCCAACCACACTTCCACTCCACTTACGCAGCCACACTTCCGTAGTATTATTTCTACGGCGGTTACTGCGCGAAAGCATGTGACGAATCCAAGACTCGAGCACAATGTCAACGGCTTAGCGGGCAGACACCTAACCATGAGGCTAAGTGGGCTGGGGTGAAAGTGAAGCCCCAGGACTCAAACCTGAATATCTCACCCCACCCCAGCACAGAATCCCACAACGGAGATCCCGCTGATCTGGCCACATGCGCTCTGCTATAGTGCGAGCAACCAGTGCCTCCGAATGTGTGGAATGCTGCAGCCTCCTCCATTTTGTTACTTCCTGGAGGCCGCAGCTGCCTGACTGGAACTGGGCTCTTTCCAGACTGAGAACCTTCTGGACTGAGTACCAGGGCCCCAGCCTCTGCAACTAACCTGGAGACTGGGCCTACCAGTTAGTTGGAGAGGCTGCCCCCAGCGTTCCTCCCAACTGCCTCACGCCACCCTTCACTCAGGGCTGGTGGGCCCTTTTCCTGCTATGGCCTTGACTTAGGGCCGAGCCTGATTTTTCTGGGTGGCCCATGGTGGAGGCCTGCAGAGGCCTGAAGCCTCACATAATATATATATCATACATGCAAGCGCACCTCGTGCGGGCAGTTCCTGACGTGCACGCGCCCAACAGATCCCGAGCGGTGCACGAGATGTGCGGGGAACGACCCATCACCCCCCTCCGGAAAAAAAAAGAAGGCCGGGGGTTGAAAAGGTGCGTTCGAGACACCCCGCCAAAATTATAAGGGGGATGAAAGTTTTTTTTTGCAGGAGTGATGCCTCCTCACCTTGCTCCTCCCTTTCCTCCTCCTCCATGTCTCCTCCTCCCTTCTCCTTTTCGTTTCCTCCTTTTCGTCCTCCTCCTGCCCTCCATGTCTCCTCCTCCTGTTTGTACTCCTCCTGCCCTGCCTCCCCTCCTTGTCTCCTCCTCCTCCTCGTACTTCGCCATCTTCCATGCCTCCTCGTCTCCTTACCTTCCTCATGTCCTCCCCTTCCTCTCTGTCCGTGTCTCCGCCTCGTCCCACGCGTCCTCCTCCCACCCTTCCTCTTTCCCTCCGTCCATCTCTTCTCCTCCCCCATCTCTGCTCCTCCTCGTCGTCCTCGCTATTCTCGTCGTCCTCCTCGGCCACATCCTCCTCCTCCTCTCCGTGTCCCCCTCTACTCGCCATATCCCCAGCTTCCTGTCATACACCCCCCCCCCTCCCCCAAAAAAAAAAAAAAAAAAAAAAAAAAAAAAAAAAAAAAAACCCTGTGCGATTCCGCACAGGCACCCCCCGCACGGAACTCCGCATGGAACTCCGCACGAATGTGCTCGTGCGACTCACAGTATGTCAAACCCTGGTAAGGTTCTTCGCGTTGCATAGAATTAAACCACATGCTCCACTGCCTAGGTTAAACATAAAAAAACAGAGAAAAATAAAGCAATCCATTTGTGAATCATAAGAGGGGCACCAGTCAAGGCAACTTCGTTGCGACTTGGAAATTAGAGTCTTTACTATTCTCGAAATGCAAATCGAGATTTTTGAAAAAACATCCATTATATATGTATATATATTATATATTATACTAGGCTACCAGCCGGGCCGCCGTTGGTCCCGGGTGGCCAGCCCGTGCAAGGACCAGGGAAGGTCCCAGCCAAAAAAAAAAAAAAAAAAAAAAAAAA